AAGCAGCAAGCAACTCGATCCGATGGACCCTGTTCGCACGTCCCCCCTTCCTTCCGAGTGTATGTCTCCTCGACCCCCTCAACCACCACACGACCGCATATCTCACGAGGACGAGAGCGCAGGCCAGAGTGGCGAGCAATCCCAGCCGCAACCAGTGCCAGCACAACATGGCACGCCAGACCACAGCTTCAGCCTGGACCCGGCCTTCCCACGCCTGACCGAGACAGCCGTCGAATCATCGCCGTCCGCTGACAGGCGGTTGGACGAAGGCGAGCAGAAGATGACGTACGCGCAACTCATCTACATCGCACTCCACAGCACAGAAAAAAAGGCGATGGGACTAGGCGAACTCTACCACTGGTTTGAGGAAAACACCAGGAGAGCCAACAAGGGAGGCGAAGGATGGAAAAACAGCGTTCGTTCGAACCTGAGCGTAAACAAGGTACGCTAGCGAGTTGCGCCAGCGTTGTGACGGTCTAGTTTTTCCTGCTAAGTCGTAATCTGTGTTGCACAGGCCTTCCAACGAGTGGAACGGAAAGGCTCCCTCTGGCAGCTCACGGAGGCAGGGTTGACGGAATTCCAACCAACGCGTAAACCCCGAACGGATCGCCGGGCGAGTCGCAGGAAACAGCCAGAGGGGTCATACAAATGGAAGATCAGTGTCGCATTACCTTCTCCGTCTTGCGCGCCCACTTTGCAGGACCACTCGAAGGAAAACGTGCCCGGAAGTGATTGCGGCGACGATGGGTTTTGGTCATTTGACGGCGGCTTCACGTCGCCCGAGAGGAGCCAGCCTGAAAGCGGAACCTCTACCGATTATCCCACGCCGACACCGATTACTTCGACGCAAGATGGCTTGGATCACATGCATGATCCGCTATGGGCTTGGAACCTGGATAGTGGGCGCTACGTTCACTGGCCCTACTGTAGCTGCCTCTGTGGCCGACAACAATTTTGTTGGACAGACGTGAATGACATGTTGCCATTATGCACCCCGACAGCGTTTGCTCCCATGTGGACGAGCATGGGTGTGGGCTCCAGTCCGCCGTCGGAACCGTCTGTGCAATGGGAGATCTGATGGTTGAATCTGGTCTTGGCAAACTAGAAGTACGTTATAGCACTGGGGGGCATAGAGGAGCCACTGTCCGAAAGGCGCAGAGATGGAAATACAGACAGCGGATAAGAAATGTGCTGTAATGCCAGAGAATGCATGCGCCAATTCGATCTTCCCGCTCTTGATGTGTGTTGGAAAGCTCACTTGCGAAGCCGGATGGACCTACGCTTGACTTTGAATGAAGGAAGATTCCGACGCAAGTGGCTGCAGAGCATTGGCGAGTGGATCGCAGACGATTATAGATTCATCCAGGTCGTCGGGCTCAAGTCCCGTCCACCCAGCCTATTTTGGCTTCCGAGTTGCTTTCTGTACTGCCTATAAGACAGACACGCGCCTCGTCTGCCCGGTGTAGCTGTCCCTGATCCAGTGCGCACCATGTCCCGTTGTAAACACACTGGCTGGCTGCGCGTGGCCACCAAAGACCAGGCGTACGTCGTCGAAGGCTCGGGTCGTGCCCAGAGACTGCTGGACGGTCTGCCACGCCCGGATGGCCAATGCCCGAGTATTCTCGTGCTGATTGGAAACACGACCAAGCGGGTTGCCCTGCAAAGACTCGGTGTGTACATCACTGCGCCCAACACGGCCCGGGGCCACGGCGAGATCCATCTTAACCTGGCTCCTGTCGGCGCGTCCGGCGCAAGGCCGACGCTGATTGCCGATGCCGACGTTCCGCCCCATAAGCGGCTCGGGAGGCCAAGGAAATCCACGCTCTGCCATGAAGTCGTAGCAAGGCCACTGTCGATCTCTCACGGTGGAAGCACCACGTCCACCATGCCGTCCGCGATGCCGTCCGCGATGCCGCCCACGACGGTAGAAGCTGGTGATCAGATCTATAATCGCATGCTTCTCCCGTTTGCTGATGCCGTGTGTTTCTTTGCCGACGATATCGGCGGCGTAGAGGTCGTCGCCCAGCATCTTGCGTCGTGGCTGAACCTGAGTACGCCGTCCACATCGTCGGTGCGGCCCTGGTTAGTGGTCGTCGTGAACGGCGACGGAGAGGATTCCGCACGCAGTCGCCTGCTACAGTCAATCCGCGAGAGG